TATCGCAATATATTGCCTTGCTTACAGTATCGCAATATATCGGGATATATCGTATCGTGACCCCTCTGTCATGATATGTATCGTATCGCCAAATTCTTGCCAATACACAGCCCTAGTTAAAACTAAGTTGTTTTTTTTTTTTACAAATTCTGTTTGCATCATTTCCATCAATCGTTCTGTATCTTTACCCAAACAAAAAAATGTTGCGTCATCACCAGCAAACAGAACTTCCAGTTGAAAATTCCTACAACTTTCATAAAAAAATATCGTTAAGTCTGTTTTTCCAATATCGCGCAGCTCTAATAAAAAGCTTCACATCAACTGGATTATTGAGTACCTGACAAACAAAGCTTTAACATCTATTAAACTTGTGCAAAACTTAACGTTGCCCAACATGTTTTCACTTCAAGTCTCAAATGTCCCATCGTTCTAAAATAAAAAAAAGGAAAACTTGAACCAAACAAAGCAAACATTATGTTTTCTCTTCAGACTAACTGGATTCGTGTGTGAAACACAGATGTGTGCTGCGACTGCCCCGTCCTCAACAACACGTGTGAATCATCAGCTTCAGGGGGACCAGCTGACCCCCCCCACCCCCACCGAGGAAGAGACCCCAACACTGAGCAAACCTGAAACTATGGAGGGAATTCAAGCCAATCCTAACAGCCTGACTGAATCCAATAAAAATTCCTCTGAGGAAGAAGTTAGTCAGAACATGAGCTCATTTTAGACTTGTTCTTTCAGCAGAAGGATTAATTTAAAGTGGGGGGTGGATGGGGGGGGGGCAGTGATGGTCACACAGGTAAGCCCGTCGCCTCCAAATGCTGCACATTCTCAAACCAATCATCCCGTCGACGGAGAACAAGTTCAGAGGTTTATCTGAGCGTCAGGCCATAAATACTGACGATGATGTGTTCAGAACCTGGCAGCGCCGCACGCTGTCAGCATTCCAGAACTTTCTTATCTGCTCTGCCACAACAACAGGCCTGAGGAGAAGTGCTCCTGCTCCGACAGCCTGGACGAAACTAAAATCAACAAAAACATGGTTTTATCCACAAGATTACAATAAAAAGAAGCGACAGCTGATCCTCTGAGTGTCTGTTAACAGATCTGTGAGCTGAAGTGAAACCTGCTCTTTGACATTTCAGGCTGTCAGACTCATGCTGCGTTCACACCGAACGCGATTTCAGCTTCAAAATCGCAGCCAACGCTGAAGTTGGACGCTTGTGCACTTTGAGGTCAGACGCAGGTCAGCTCTTGAAGCGCTGCACGGTGACAGCCTCCCCGCCCCTCCCTCCTCTGTCGGGCTCTGTTTAATGTCGGACGAGGAAGTGGCTTTGCTTTATTTACAGAGAGCAAGAGCGTGTCAYGTTCATCAGATAATTAATTCATAATTAATTCACCAGATAATTCAGAGTAGAGGCTCACAGCTGCTTTCAGGACTATTTTTTCAGTCTGATGAGTCGCTGCCACGCGTTGGTGAGGATATCTCTGTCAGGACACCGACTGCAGGCACTCGATTTCAGCTGAAGAGCTCCTCTCCATCTGTTTCAGGTTAGTGGACATCATTCAGTAAACTGTCCCGTCGGGAAATATGTCACTACATCACACAGTGGAGTCTCTCTGATTGGTTGATGCTGGAAATATGTCGCTACGTCACACAGTGGAGTCTCTCTGATTGGTTGACGCAGCGCGTCGAGCTGCAAAAGTTCAGATTTTCTAACTTCAGCGATTTGCGCCTCAGCGCG